AAAATCAACAACAAAAACAACCAACAAACAAAAAGGATTTAATTAATTATGTGTAGGAGATGATGATGATGATGATATAATAATAATAATATCGTTTTATCAATTTTAAATGATTATTATGATAATGAATGATAATAATAATTAAAAGAAAAAAAAAAATACAAAAAAAAATAATATGCAAACAACAAAACCAATCAACCAACCAACCAACAACAACAACAACCAACAACCATACACTTGGACATTTACGCGAAAGAAGAGTAAAATAATTAATAAAAATTATTAAACATTTAAAAAAAGAAAATTACGAAGAAGAAAAGAAATGAATTGAATTAAAAAAAAAAAAAAACGAAAAAAAAACAATTCACACCACACACACACACACACAACACACACATATTTGTGTCGCGACGAAATTTATTATAACGTAACATAATATTAATAATAATAATAATAATAATTAATAATTAATAATAATATTAATATTAATAATAATAATAATTAACACGTGTTAATATTAATTAACGATCGATTAAGAATGATTATTAAATATCACATACACACATATATACACATTATATACACGTATTACATATGAGAATATTATGTTGAAGAAGAAGTACAGTAATTATACATTATTTACATAATTATTCTTAACCATGTATATGTCTCTATTCATCACAAAAAAAACAAAACAAACAAACAAACAAACAAACATACAAATAATACATATATGTAATATGTAACACGCAGTGTTAAGCTTGCTCGTGTGAATAATGTAACGTTTCTTAAGAAAAAGTAATTACAAACAAAAAACAATTATAAGTACATTTTTATGTATATATACATAATATATACACGTGGTAGTAAACATACATTACATTACATACATACATACATACATACATACATACATAAGACGTAAATTTACATACGTACGTATACGTACGTAATCATCGTTTATACGTGACACTCGTAGAAATTAATTGATCAAATACGACGACCATTTTTTTTTTTTTAAGATTTGCATGTGCATGTATGGAACGAATCTTAATCGTGTATACATATATATATGTGTGTGTATATATATGTATACATGTAATTATCATTACATGTTAAAATCCACCAATCGCACAAGTTCAATGTACACAGGAGGACAGACACACACACGAGAGATTTTCATTTCACATCTACATCCTCGATTTTAATATATTTTGAAATTTCTTTCTTTTTTGTTTTTTTTTGTTTTTTATTTTTTGAAATGAATAATAAATAGAATAATGTAATTACAATAATATCGTCAAGTAAAATATCGTTGGGATTGTACAAAACGAGAGGAGGTGAAAGTTTCATCAAAGGGGGGACACAACTTACAAGGACATTTTTTTTTTTTGATTAAGAGAATTTTTAATTTGAAAGATTTAAGTTTGATTAATTGAAAATTAATTTTAACGAACAAACAAAAAAATACAAAATTAAATAAATAAATAAATGAATGGAAGTAAGTGATGATTGAATGAAGATGAAAATGAGAAGATGGCAGCAATGAACAATTAATTTCAAACAAATAGAAGAAAATAATGAAATACATGAGTCACAAAAAAAAACAAAATAATAATAATAATAATAATAATAAAATACAGAATTATGAAATGAAAAGAAAAATAAAATAAAAAACAAAGCAAAACAAAAGAAAACAAGATTTCTTTGAATTGCATATGGAATGAAATGAATTCATGCAAAGTGTTGCTACTTTGTATCAAATTTTAATAAATTTAAATAAATTCATTCATTCAATTATTATTAACTTTATTCATGAATAATAATAATAATAATATTTTTAACTTGAAACAAAAATTTGTCTCTCATAAAAAGAAGAGAAGTACAGAAAAAAAAAAAAAATACAAACAAAAACTATAAAAGAAGAAGAAACAAGAAAAACAAGAAATATTTCACGTTGATCTTATTAAAC